CAAATGTGAAGGAGGAGTGACCTTTTATAGGCATCCAAAAACATGTAACCTTCACCAACCATAAAATTTCACCAACCAAAAAATTAAGGCATTCACCAACCAGAAATATAACCCCCACAATAAATAAAATAAAATAGCCAAAATAAATAAATAAATAAAACGGTTAAAATTTTAAAACCTTTTAAAATTCCAACAATCCCCCACAAGGTTTTTAAAATTTTACCGTGACAAAAAAAAATTTATTCAATGGCTTACCTAGGTTTGAAAGCCATAAAAATTGAAAACCCAAAATGCACGTTGAGATAAGAAGCCCTCCCCCAAAGTGACTCTCATGTTCTCTGTTGGAATTTTAATTCCACTTACTAATTTTATATTATTCAAGCTACTAATTAGCAAGAATATTCAATTGAATTTCTTCAAGAACTGCTCAGGAGTCAGGACAGGATAGGAAAAGTAACATAACTTCAACTTCATCAAGAAATTGGCATGCACAAATCAAGCAAGCTTTCCCAATCATTTCATACCGGATGAAATAATTAATTGTTCAGCTATTCACTTTTTCTGAAAACCAACACTTTGAATACGTCTCATGATGACAGCATTCAGCCAACCCAGAATCAAAAGTTCGACAGAGCAAGCTGTATGAGTTCTATCAAATCGACAATAAGTTGCATTAGTCCAAAAATCAGCAGCAACAATGCAGTAAGCATTTGACTGAGAGTGCAATGATCAAATAGACAACCTACACAGAGACAATCTTTGGATGGCGAGCAGCTACCTGAACAAACTTCATCACCCCATATGGTGTTTCGTTACTGAGACCAACATATCTAATCTACAAAACAAACATTTCCGTTCAATTCACATGGGAATGTTATGCTTTTAAAACAACGCAAAATAAAGGAAAAAGTCACCAAACTAAACGACTTATCAAAGAAAGGGGAAGAAAGGCAACAGTATGAAACTAACCTTACCAGAATCAACAGCTATTCCTAGAGCATCAAGTTGTTCGTCTATGGGAATCGAACTGAACTTTCGGGTTGGATCATACTCAATTTCTCCAAACATGGGAACATAGCTACAAAAACAGTCATTAATCAGTTCAAGTCTTATTAACAGGGATTGTGTAGTCCCAAAACACTAAAAGGAAGGATCTACATACAAACCGATCAGGCCATTGTAATCTGTCTGCAATCACCTTAAGCTGCATTTAAACATTACATAACTCATCACTCAGCACAGCATAACACGAAGCGTTTAAACAGAAGAAAAATTACAAAATGTTTGCTTTAGCAAACCTGCCGACAATGGCCTCGGTGATATTCTTAGCATTCAAACGCTTGGGACCATCTCATATCCAAGTCATCTGCCCAGACGGTACCTGTAATATCAGAACAAATTTTCACACATCAGAAGTGAAAAGCAAGCTGGCACACCATTGTTAGCATGAACTGATACTCTCATAGCTACTTTACAACCTTGGTGGCCAAAACGACGCTCCTCACTCCTCCCCTGACCTGAGTTTGGGCTCGCTGAACCACTGGATACATTTCTGTACAGTCGAAGAAATTGATGCGGGACAGGAAAGCTTGGTCCAGGAGGCCAAACGACTCCAGAAACGTGTTTTGCTCGCCGAAAGTCATCGTCCCTGCGAAGAATGAATATATATTTGAGGATGAGAGGGAGGGCCGAAGAATCAGACTCAGAGTCGGTAAGATTGGGGGCGAGGTTGAAGAGAGGCACCGCCATTGCTTCGCCTGAGAAGCTCCTTGAGTTTGTCAACTGAGTGGAACGGGAAGGAGAAAAATCAAAGTATCTGCTATATCGGCGCAAGTTTGGTGGATTTTCAGGGGTTGGATAAGATAAAAACCGAACCGAGTTACTATCTATGTGTTCGAAAAATCGTCCAACAAATACAAAATAAAAAAGTAAAAAAAAATCCGCCTAGGCGGGCTAGGGGGGTTTGGGCCTTTTTTTT